AGTTAAATGAAATGTTTCAATAACAGTTCTAGACAGCAGAAGAGATGTCATAAAACAGTGCACGATTCATTGCCAAAAAGATTGTTGCTGACGATAGCTGTTGCAAGATTTCAGAGAAGAAAAAGACCATTTCGAGTTGAGGAAGACCTGAGGAGACTTTACAAAGAAGGCAGGACCCCAGCTCAGTCTTGAAAGCTGCATAAAAACTGTGGGTGGGCAAAGGAAGCACATTAAGAGCCTCATAGAAAGGCTGGTTTTTAAAAAAAAAAATGTGAGGGGGCAGGCACAGTGGTGTAGCCATTAAGTTCACCTGCTCCAATTCGGCGGCCTGGGGTTCACAGGTTTGGATCCCAGGTGGGGACTGCCACACTGCTCGTCAAGCCATGCTGTGGCGGCATCCCATATAAAGTGGAGGAAGATGGGCACGGATATTAGCCCAGGGCCAATCGTCCTCAGCGAAAAAGAGGAGGATCGGCAATGGATGTTAGCTCAGCACTGATCTTCCTCATTAAAAAAAAAAAAAAAGTGAGAAATCCTCCAGGATGTTTGGGTGACTGCTGTAGGGAGGGAGGCAGTCAGGGGCCCAGGCAGATGATGTCAGGTTGTAGAGGAACATTGACCATCCCAAAGAAAATGGCAGCCAAAAGGTGGAAACAATCTGAGTCCATCAACTGATGAATGGCTAAACAAAATGTGGTATACAGTGGAATATTATTCAGCCTTCAAAAAGAAGGAAATTCTGACACGTGCTACAATATGGATAAACCTTGAAGAAATTATGCTACGTGAGATAAGCCAGTCAGAAAAAGAATATTCTGTATGATTCCACTTATATGAGGTACCTAAAGTAGTCACATTCACAGAGATAGAAAGTAGAATGGTGGTTGCCACGGGCTGAGGGGACAGGGGAATGGGGAGTTATTGTTTAATGGGCACCGAGTTTCAGTTTTGCAGATGAAAAGAGTTCTGGAGATGGATGGTAGCCATGGTTGCCCAACAGTGTGATTATACTTAGTACCACTGAACCATACATTTAAAAATGGGTAAGATGGCAAATTTTACATTATGTATATCTCACCACATTAAAAAAAATACATTTTAAAACAGAGAGAGAACAGCAGCTGGCGAGTGAAGATATGGACGCAGCGCTTGAGAGAAGAAATTTCACACTTGGCCGCCAAAAATAAGGACATCTTCGGACTCCAGGCCTGTGAGACCCATGGGCTCCACCTGGAAATTCCACTACTGAGTGGTGAGCACGTGGCACTCAGAACCCCTCCCCCGATTTTCTTTGGAAATACTGAACTCAATCTAATGAAGGACCTTTAAAATCTTTTGAAATATCTGAACTTGGAAATGAAGTAAGAGCCAGGCCCCTGCAGACACTCACTTCTGACTCCTGCCCTCCCCCCGCTGGCCTCACTCTGAAGGATGTGGACACTAAAAGGAGACAGCTCAGACCCAGAGGAAATAAAGTGCAGGTCGCACCTGCAGGGCCCATGCAGACAGAGTTACTCAGCTTAGTAAAGAGAGTGGGAGTCGGGCTTCATCTAACTAACGATTCTATTATCTGGGCATCTACATCTTCCCAAACTGTAAAGTGGGAACCATGGAGAATCCACCTGATGCACGGTATAGACACTTGATAACTATTTGGAGATTCATATACTCTCATGATGAATGGCTTTAGACCCTCCAGCAGTTCTGAAGGAAAAATCGGGCTAGCTCTATGTCTTTTCAGAATTCCTGGGCACCTCTCATCTAGTCCAAACATGATGAGCCTTTTCTTCTAAATGTGATCCTGACTGCAGAAAGTTCTGGGCCCAGGGTCATTTTGCCTGCCTCCACCGATGGTAATGTGGGACACTAGTCGTCACAGGCAGGTACACTGGCGGAGCCCCGGCCCCGTGAATTCAGCTCCCCACTTCAGGCAGGCCTCCTGGTTGATGGCTTGCTGAAACTACCATTTTTAGAGTAGCCTTTTTTTAAAAAACAAAAACAAGTGAACTATAAATATTAAAACTTCTCACCAATGTCATCAATAGGAAAGCTGCCTCCCCTGCATTCTCGGGCCTTTCTGCAACAATCGATTCTGCAACCTAAATACTTTTAATCCTCAGGCGGATATGGACATCAGAAGATCAAAAACTCTGCCTGGCACACAGGAAGTTTAGATCACTGTTCATCCAAGCCTAAATTTTTATTCAGGCTTTTCTCAGTTTTTCTTTTTATGTGTGTTCCCTTATTTTGCTTCATTTTTAATTGAGGAAAAAATGGCTAATATATGCGATCACCTTCATTGTTCGGTCTTGTTGGGCTTCGGATGTCTTTAAGGACAGACTTGAAAAAAGAAGAAAAGCATAAAATGTGTCAGGGAAATGGAATTCCTATTTCACTCACAATTTTGCCTTTTAAATGTAGTTCTCCTACCAACAGTTCAGTGCAAGATGGTTTCCTTATTGTCATTTACTAGCCTTGACAGGCAGCAATGCTCCTCTCAGATACAGGCTCCCTTCACCACAATTATCTAGTAATGCCTGCAAGGCAAAAGATGGCTCCTTCCTTCTGGAATGCTCTTCCAGAAAAACTCCTCCCTTCTGGAATGCTTTTCCAGAAAAACTCCTCCCTTCTGGAATGCTTTTCCAGA